CAATCTGTGAAATCTATTAGGCCTAAGGCTAATCTGTGAAATCTGTTGGACCTAAGGCCATTCTGTATAATCTATTAGGCCTAAGGCCGTTCTGTGTGATACTGGGCTTGAAGCCACTCTGTATAAAGATTGCGCCCAAGGCCGTTCTGGAAATGTTTACAGAAAAAGATTAACCATGTGACCTCTGTCCTTATATACATTATAATTCAAGTTTATTCATTAAATTGTTTAAGTACTATTATTCACCGAGTCTCGCTCACTTTGTGTTATGTCTGTCTCTGTAGGCAGTCAACCTGGAGGTCGGTCTTAGTCCATCTTTGGTCACTCCGTTTTGGTCAAGCAATGTGAGGAAGCTTAAATGTTTTGTGGCGTTCCCTTAATGACCCTTAGTTTGGTTTTTTAATCTTTTGATTGGTCGTGTATAACCTTCTTTACCAACATTTTTGTTGTATGCACACATGCGAGGCTGGTTCTATACATATGTTCATATATGTTATTGTGTGACTGCAAATGTCTGCTTCTCATATATCTGTCTATCATATTTGGAACTGTTTAATGGCACATTGTGACCCTAGCATATAGATATGAGCTCGATGGATGTTAATTTATATTATTTTATGTTATTGGATGCTTCCGTTCAGGCCCCATATGTTGTATGTATCGAATTAACTGTCCGTTTCTGAAGTGATCATGCCCAAACTTTTAGGGGCGGGTTTGGGGCGTGACAGTAATGAAAACTCTTCGGATCGAAGTTTTGTTGGAATAAGTCCATTTGTAACTCAACTTCAACAGGTTTTCTTTTTTTATCAAATCCATCTTGTAATGAATTTTTTGTCCTCTTTGCTGGACATGAACAACATGACTCCAAGACTATCTTTTTTCAATTCTTTCACTTGATCATTTTTCATTAATTTGATTGCATCACTAATTTGCAAAATATCATACACACAACCATAATTTAGAGCATATTCACAATGTCTAAATTTTTCTTTCACTTCATGAATTTCAATCTCCTTCTCCACTAAATATTCATCAAATTTTGGAAGTAAATTCCAATCAACATGTGATTCCAAAAGTAAAGTATTTATCTAATAATATCTCATTGAACTCTTCCTAACCAAATATTTTGTGAATCACAGTGCTTTCTAGATCAATTTCAATTTTGTCTTCTATGTCGTTGAGAAAATCTCCTACGTCTCCTTCAACTATAATTTCTTCTACGACTTCCTTATGATACATGTCATATGAGGGAGGAAAATTCTACTTAACTTGTGAGTCAGAAGAAAAGGAATCCAAATTCATAAATAACATTTTTCATCTTCAGAATTTTTTAACACATGATTTTTCCTTGGTCTTTCATTATGAAAACTCAACAAAGTAAAGATTACCATCAATTATCTCCTCATCTTTGACAAAACATGGATTACGAAGTTTCAGCTGTCGTCGTTGTTTTTGCATGGTAATGGACAAGATTGTAATCTGTTTGGTTAGAACATCAATTTGTCGTAGCATCCTTGCATTTTTAACTTGAGCTCTGAAACCAACTGATACAGTGCGAAATAGAAAATAATAACAATCTTAAAATCGGTTAATTCAACAAGAATATTAGAAGTAAGATTCTTCTCTAAGTTCGTTGATTCACAAAGAATGTCAAGAATAAAAACTCAACAATGGTAGATTCACAAAGAATACCCAAAGTTGGAACAAAAAAGTATAAAACTCAAAATATATTAATTCTCAAAAAACTATCTTTTCCCTATGGCTTACATCTTTATTTATAATAAACCTAATTCTTGTTGAGCAAGAAAATTGCATCATATCAAATTAAGAAAGTAAATAACTAAATAATTTTATAATATTCTAGACTGAATTAGTAAATTCCTAATCAATTATTAATTTCAAAATAATAAAATAAAAATATTTATTTTTAAAAATTTGGCCTGCATCAGAATAGGAGTTATTGTTTCATATTATTGCTATTTTCCAGCTTTATTACAAGTATTTTTTAAGTTCAACCACATAAAATTACCACAATTAAATAAATAAAAAAAAACTATAACGGCATTTTTCAAATGTCACTATACCGCCAATAGTTAGATTTTAAAATGTAAAAAAGTCTATGACACCCTTTTGGAAATGTCACTAAATATTTGTGTGATTATGTACCACATTTAGCACCGTTGCCTATAGTAATATAACGATGTTTCTGAAGCGTCATAAGGCTACAGTGACAACTATCTTCGGCGTTTGGTACTAAGCGTCACAAAAAGAATTAGTAATGTTTTGAACACCTATAGCGGCATTTTTTAAACTCCTCTAAAAGCTGAATTTCCTGCAATATTCACTTTACCCGAAATATATCAAACCTGTTGACACACAAAAATATTGGTGCATATGATTTGCTTAATTTGGTTGTATCTAGAAGTAATGATTTGGTATAATTTGTTGTATTTTGTAGTTTACTGAATATTTTTCAAACTATTGGTTATGTTTTTGATGCATAGGATCTAAATATTTATCTCCTTATCTGTTCAAGTGTCAAGTACAACAGTTTGAGGAGGCACTTGAATTTTTCAAAAATTCCAACTAGAGCAAATGAGTGCATGAATTTTTTATGCATCCACAGTTAAGGTTGTAAAATGAACCAAGTTATTTGAACTCAACTCGTGTTTAATTTGTTCAATTTGTTAAAAATTTTAAAATTAACTCATTATGTAAACAAGTCAAACTTAACACATTTTAAAATTCATTAAATTTTCAAATCAAAATTAAATAATATATTATTTGACTCGACTGGATTACATAAACTATAAAAACCAAACGACTCAAGTTTGGCTCGTGATCAGATCGATTAAAACTTGCTTGAAATATGCTCAAAATCTAAATAATTAGACTTAAAACACAATTTAAAACTTATTTCAACCAACAACATACTGATCAACCCAACTCACCTCGTTTACATGTCTACCCATAAACAAATGAAGAAAGTCGGAGTGAATCCAATTGGTCCCATTGGCTAAAAATAAAAAAGTAGTACTATATTAGAGGCTGAAGTCAAAAGTGGGAGCAAAGTGTATTCGTTTGTTTAATAGAGATGGAGAATATATCGCATGAGGAAAAGATGGAGAGAAGACGGTCCAGAGTCCACCACCGCCACCACTTAAGTTAGCACTACCGCCAAGCCCACACACCACCATCACCAACACCACTAACCCTACCGACACGTTCACATTTCACATTTCATATTTCAATATCTAAAATACTCAAAAGAGTCAAGAAGCTACTAGAATTCCATCATTTCATGCTTTAGAAAAAATTGAGCCTTACAATGCATAATATAGCTTTCCCTGCTCCAACTATTTTCCTCACAAGCATTGGTTTCTCAAGCACTGAGAGAGAGAGAGAGAGAGAGAGAGAGACTTCATTTGTCTAGTGTCAACCCATTTTGCATTGTTTGAAAATGGCTAGTTCTAAGGTGATAGGTGTTGTTTTCTTGGTTTTGTTCTTTGTGGACCTCTGCTTTGCAGCTAGGTCATTGCAGGTGGAGAAGGAGGTGGTGGTGGTAATAGGCAATGGCGGAGGGAGTGAAGGCCCGGGGGTCACATGACCGTGGATTTTGAAATTTTTTTTTTTATTATAAATTTTGCAAACATAAAAAAATATTTAAAAAAAATTACAAAAATATTATTAGAGTGAAATGTCAATGACATTTTAAAAATTATGAGAACAATAATAGTTGTTTTAATTAAAAATGAAGAGACTACTATCAACCATATTATCTATGAAATTTTTTGAATGTGACGATGATGTCATTATTATTGACATGCAAGTATAAGTAATCTCACTATAAATATATGAAATTTATTGGATTGTTAGTTACATTTGACATGTGAAGTTCACTCTCTATGCGTTTATGTACTATTAGTTGGTAATATCACATATCAATGATGATGTGGTATTACCATTATGTTGAATTTTTTATCAAATTTTGTATTAAAAAAAAATTATCTTTATATAATTTATTTTAAGACTTATATCTATATATTTTTTATATTGTCCATGATACACTAGTTACAAATAACATTATTTTATTTTATGTTTCTCGAAATCAATCACTAGAAACTTGCGTAAAATATTTTTGTAAAAATTTTCGATATTGTAATTAATAAGCAACCTCTCTAATTTAATTTTCTAACTCCGCCACTAGTCATAGGGCAGGTTCAAGGTATGGCTCTGGGAGTGGTTTTGGGTATGGTCCCCTTGAAGGAAAATACGATAGTGGAGCAGGTGAAGGTGGTGGCAGAGGGGGTGGTTCGGGCTCTGGTGAAGTTGGAGGTGGTGGAGGGGGAGATGGTGGTGGAGGTATAGGCTACGGCGTGGAAGTGACTCCGGCCATGGAAGCGGCAGTGGAAGTGGCTCCGGATATGGAAGTGGTAGTGGTCGTGCCAGTGGTGGAGGTGGAGATGGAGGAGACGGTGGCGGAGATGGCGGTGGCAGCAATGGAGGGGGATCTGGCTATGGTTCAGGTAGCGGATCTGGACATGGCGGCGGTGAGGGCGGCTATAAGCCATGAGCGTTCTATTTTCTTTATCTACCATTAGATCGTTTGCATTTGTAGTCTCAAATAAAAATTGCAGCGAGACTTCACCACATTCATGCATATCAAATCAATTATATCTGCTGGTGGTGGACGTTGCGTTTGTGTATGTATGCATGTTCTTCCCCAACATAGTAGTATAATGCTATATATACCTCTAATCAAATAGAATGCATGTGATGAAGAATAATTAATTAATGTCACTTCTTTTATTATTCACCATTACATGTCATGTTGCAAAAGAATGAATGGTTGTGATCAGAAACTAATCTTATTGATCCAGACAAGACAATATTTTGTGTAAAATTCCAAAATTTCATAGAATACTATTTCATTGGTCTTGTTATGCATCACTAAATGAATTCCACAGTTTTTCATAAAAGAACAACAATGATTTAAACTATTAAAAAATACACCACTAATAGCACTAATATATTAAGAATGGCAAAAAAAATAATAAAAAAATAAAAACAAGACATAGAAAGTGGACATGACCCACTGCCACATCATTAGTACTCCCTCTAGTGATCCCTTTTTAGTGGCTCCCAAGCATTTTTCATAAGCCATATGAAAAGCTTGTCTTGAACTATTGTTAGTCCAATAAATGATTTAATCAAAAAAAACAAAAAACAAAAAACCCTCCTTCATTACAATATTCCTTAAGAAAAATCAAGTAAACGAGCAATAAAAAACAGACATAAAAGCTACAGATTTGTGTGCGTGTGTGGTGATAACGCCGCATCCAGGATTCCAGTCCATTGATCAACTAATCCGGAGCATCAAAACATAAAAGCTACAGTTCAGCAAGATGCACGATGACTGAAACTAAGACACTTTTGATGAAAGCTTGCTTCCTTCTCCGTATCGAAATGTTGGACTGCTCCAGAAGAAAAATATTTATAATTTAATATTTCATTTAAAAAAATTTTACTATTTTAAAATATTTCATATATTTACCAATATAAAATTTTAAAATTCAAAATATTGACACCTCAACGTTTGAGACCTGCATCTCAACCTCACCTCCTGACAGTAAAAAACCCTAACATAATCCGTTCGCATTTAAGAAACTTTGAACAAAACTCAACTAAGTTGGAATACGAAAATTTTGAGTAAAAATATAGTTGGGCCTGGAGGGCCTACCACGGGTCCTGTTTCGATAATCTGAATCGTTCAATGTGTAGAACTCGTCGAGTACTTTATCCCTTTAAATAATCATATTGATTGGATATTGATAACTACTTGATCGGATCAAATTTCTGTCAACAGTAAATAATTTTCAAAATAAATTGTTAACAAAAATCTGATCCGAACAAGTAGTTATCGATATCCGATTAATATAATTTTTTACAGGGATAAAATACTCGAAAAGTTCTACACATTAAATGGTTCGAATTATCGAGACAAGACCCTTGGTGAGCTTCACAAACCTAACAGTACCGTCCAGTCCACTGTGGACTGGAGACAAGCCTAGCCCAAAATATAAGTATTCTAGCACTCAATGAGTAGAACTCATAAAATACCAACTGCAAAGTAAAGTTACGACTGTATATAGAAAGTAAATACTTATATTAGTCAATAAAATCAATCATAATGGCCTCTTTCAACAATTTTGCTCTCTTGAGATATATTTTCTGTAACATGAAGCTCCATTCAACAAAAACTTTTGGGTTCTGTGGTGATCCATCAGAGATTCAATTTTTGTTAATCTACTGTGCCTAAATTTGCCAAATGTATATAGAGATTTAAAAGTCAATCAGCTCCCAGACAAATTTCTCAAGGATAGATGAGAAAACTCGATAATTAACTACTCCATCACCTCTCAGAAGCAGATGCCGCTTTCTGTGATATCATTGCCTCTGCTACACGGATTGCTCTTTGTGGTCCTGTGATAGTCACTTTCCTGCCAAACAAGGTGGAAGAGACATCAAGAGTCAATACATTTATTTGCATGCTGATTCAAACCATCAAGCTGTTTTTATACCTATCGGATGTTCCAGACATGAAATCGCCTCTATCTGATATCTTGATCCTGGCCCCACTAGCCTGCAAAAATTGAAGCACGTAGTACGCATTTATGCCCTCCGCATAACAAAATTGAGAAATAAAAAAATAAATAACTGAATTGAATCCTTTGTATGACACCTGACTGATTTCCATTAAGTTTCTTCCACCACGGCCAACAACGACCCCAATATGCTCATCTGCAATACCAATAGTCACCGAGTTACTCTGGTCTCCCTGCAGATCACCACAAGGACTTCTATTAATCAAACTCGGAAAAAGACGAGTGAATTAGGAAAATTCTCATCAATAAGATTCCACAGTTAAGTGAATTTCCATATGGAAAAGTCGAGTTTAATTTCTTATCACTGGGAAGGCTATAAAAGACATTCCTTCTCATCTAGATTACATGCAGCCCAAAGAGAAATCAAACCAAACCAAGCCTTAAGTACCAAGCCTTAAGTCCCATCAAATGAAGTCGGCTACATGAATCTTACTTCTCCACACGGCTCAAAGAGAACGGAAGTAAAAAGTTCGGTTCCCCAAACTTAGAATAAAAATGACAAAATACCTGTAAATTTGCTTAAATAAAATGAGCACCAAAGCTGGACTGCCAAACAACTACGAGTAACCAAAAACAGAAATGACCAATGATAACGTGGATTGATGTTCTAACAAACTACATACCATATAAATGTTCACAATCCCAAGTTGGACAATGCAAATTCCCCCAAACCCAGCTTGCCCTCCCCCTTTTTATTTCTCTTCTTTGTTCAGACCAACAAAAACTCACAGAAGTAGATTTCCAAATGAAATGCAGAATTCAATATATGAAGTATATTCCTCCCCCACAGACTAACAGGCCAAAGGTTTATGATGTAATGGTTTATTAATTTTGCCAACAAACAATTAATCATTTGCTTGTTATACCTTTAGAACTGAAGAATTTCAGTAAAAATGAGCATACCCCACAGAGCAGATATGAAAACTATAATATTCTTTTGGAGCAAAACTTCAACATTTACTAATGCTTATCCAGAATTGATGTATTATGGAATGACAAAATTTAAGAACCACCTAGAATTTTATTATTCAGGCTAAGGTCAAGCATTAGGATGCCAGGACATATTCTTACAATGTTAACAATTCTAGTTTAGAAGATCCTAGTGAACCAAAGAAAAATTGGAACTTGGGAAACAAGGACCACAGGAGCTATATAGCCCTTTTTGTGGTAGAAACAATTGAAGACTTTTTTTATTTTATTTTATTTTATCAGCAACAAAAAGATAATATATCAAATAATGAAAAAGAGAGACAACGAGATGACAAGAAGTCCTCTTAGAAGAAAAGAAAAATCTCTACCAAAAAAATAAATAAATAAAGAAAGTAAAATAAAATTATAGTTCATAAACAGCTCTCGAATCTGAAGATGGATACCTGTGGACCAATGAACATAAGCATGGGCCTTCCTAGTAAATCCTATCTCTTCACACTGTGTATGACCTCTAGGCTATGTTTAGATCATAGATTTGGGTAGAGATTTGGGAAGGAAAAGAGAAAAGATAGATGAAAGTTGAATGAAATATAACTACATTTCACACACCTTTTGGTTTTCCCTTTCCAAATGACTATCCAAATCCATGATCCAAACACAGCCTAAGGAGGTTGACTTGTGGTTGTATCCCAAATTAAAATGACTACTGTAAATACAATCATATGTGACTATAATAACGTAAGCAATTACAGCTAAGGACAGAATATTCAAGGATGAGAATAGACCTTGTTATTCTGAAACTTTCCTCCAGCTCCATTTGACCCAAAGTTGTTCATTGACGATCCGGACTCATAGTAATATAACGTCGTTTCTTAAGCGCCATAAGGCTATAGTGACAGCTGTCTTCGGCGTTTGATACTAAGCATCACAAAAAGAATTAGTAACGTTTTGAACACCTATAGCAGCATTTTTTTAACTTCTCTAAAAGCTGAATTTCCTTCATTATTCACTTTACCCGAAATATATCAAACCTGTTGACACACAAAAATATTTGTGCATATGATTTGCTTAATTTGGTTGTATCTAGATGTAATGATTTGGTATTATTTGTTGTATTTTGTAGTCTACTGAATATTTTTTAAACAATTGGTTATGTTTTTGATGCATAGTATCTAAATATTTATCTCCTTATCTGTTCAAGGGTCAAGTACAACAGTTTGAGGACACTTGAGTTTTTCAAAAATTCCAACTACAGCTAATGAGTGCATGAATTATTTATGCATCCATAGTCAAGGTTGTTAATGAACTCAACTCGTGTTCAATTTGTTAAAAATTTTAAAATTAACTCATTATGTAAACAAGTCATACTTGACACATTTTAAAACGCATTAAATTTTCAAATCAAACTTAAATAATATATTATTTGACTCGACTGGATTACATAAATTATAAAAATCAAACAACTCAAGTTTGGCTCGTGATCAAATCGATTAAAACATGCTTAAAATATGCTCAAAATCTAAATAAATTAAATTTAAAACACATTTTAAAACTTATTTCAACCAACAACTTACTAATGAACCCAACTCACCTCGTTTACATGTCTCCCCATAAACAAATGAAGAAAGTCGGAGTGAATCCAATTGGTCCCATTGGCCAAAAATAAAGTAGTACCATATTAGAGGCTGAAGTCAAAAGTGGGAGCAAAGTGTATTCATTTGTTTAATAGAGATGGAGAATATATCGCATGAGGAAAAGATGGAGAGAAGACAGTCCAGAGTCCACCACCGCCACCACTTAAGTTAGCACTACCGCCACGCCCACACACCACCACCACCAACACCACTAACCCAACCGACACGTTCACATTTCACATTTCATATTTTATAATCTAAAATACTCAAAAGAGTCAAGAAGCTACTAGAATTCCATTATTTCATGCTTTAGAAAAAACTGAGCCTTACAATACATAATATAGCTTTCCCTGCTCCAACTATTTTCCTCACAAGCATTGGTTTCTCAAGCATTGAGAGAGAGAGAGAGAGAGAGAGAGAGAGAGAGTGACTTCATTTGTCTAGTGTCAACCCATTTTGCATTGTTTGAAAATGGCTAGTTCTAAGGTGATAAGTGTTGTTTTCTTGGTTTTGTTCTTTGTGGACCTCTGCTTTGCAGCTAGGTCATTGCAGGTGACTGGTGAGGGAGGTGGGGCAGGTGGAAGAGGAGGTGGTGGTGGTGGTAATAGGCAGTGGCGGAGGGAGTGAAGGCCCAGGGGGTCACGTGGCCGTGGATTTTGGAATTTTTTTTAAAAAAAATTTTGCAAACATAAAAAAAATATTTTAAATAAAAAAAATTATAAAAATATTATTAGAGTGAAATGTCAATGACATTTTAAAAATTATGAGAACAGTAATGGTTGTTTTAATTGAAAATGAAGAGACTATTATAAACCATATTATCTATGAAATTTTTTGAATATAACGATGATGTCATTATTATTGACATACAAGTATAAGTAATCTCACTATAAAGATATGAAATTTATTGGATTGTTAGTTACATTTGACATGTGAGGTTCACTCTCTATGTGTTTATGTACTATTAGTTGGTGATATCACATATCAATGATGACGTGATATTACAATTATACTGATTTTTTAATTAAATTTTGTTATAAGCCAGGGCTATGATTCAGGGGGTGGCAACAATTGACGGGGGATCTGGCTATGATCTGGCTATGATTCATGTGATTAATCAAATTTTGTTATAAGCCAGGGCGGAGATGGTGGTGCCAACAATTGATGGGGATCTGGCTATGATTCAGGCGGATTTGGATATGAAATTTATTGGGTTGTTTTGTTACATTCAACACAACAATTGAGGGGGATCTGGCGGCGGTGAGGGCGGCTATAAGCCATGAACATTCTATTTTCTTTACCTACCATTAGATCGTTTGCATTTGTAGTCTCAAATAAAAATTGCAGCGAGACTTCATATTCATGTATATCAAATCAATTATATCTGCTGGTGGTGGTGGACGTTGCGTATGTGTATGCATGTTCTTCCCCAATATAGTAGTATAATGCTATATATACCTCTAATCAAATAGAATTCATGTGATTAAGAATAATTAATTAATGTCACTTTTTTTATTATTCACCATTACATGTCATCTTGCAAAAGAATGAATGGTTGTGATCAGAAACTAAACCTTATTGATCCAGACAAGACAATATTCTGTGTAAAATTCTAAAATATCATAGAATACTATTTCATATCATTGGTCTTGTTATGCATCACTAAATGAATTCCACAGTTTTTCATAAAAGAATTACTGAAGGTTTTGGGATGTTTGGGTTTGAGGAAAATGATGGGCTATTATATTGGCTAGAATTTGATTAGTCCTAATCAGTGGGATCCAGAACTTTAAGTAAGATTAAGTCACAGTTTAAATATAAAATCAAGGGAGCTTTTTTGATAAATCTTTTTTCTAAGAGCTTTATTCTATCCAATCCATATTCTTTTTGACTATTTTATTAGGTCCTATTTGAGGTAAGAAGACCAAAATACCCTTTTCATCTACTTATGTTCCATTTAGTCCACATTATTTTCTTATGTTTCAATAAGTCCTATGGGTGACATAATTACCAAAATACCCCTAATCTGAATGTTCACATCGTCAATGTGAATGTTCATACCGCCAATGTGAATGTTCCTATTTGAGGTAAGAAGACCAAAATACCATTTTCATCTACTTATGTTCCATTTAGTCTACATTATTTTCTTATGTTTCAATAAATCCTATGGGTGACATAATAACCAAAATACCCCTAATGTGAATGTTCACATCTTATAGGTGACATAATTACCAAAATACCTCTAATGTGAATGTTCACATCGTCAATGTGAATGTTCACACCGTCAATGTTAATGTTCCTATTTGAGGTAAGAAGACCAAAATACCCTTTTCATCTACTTATGTTCTATTTAGTCCACATTATTTTCTTATGTTTGAATAAGTCCTATGGATGACATAATTACCAAAATACCCCTAATGTAAATGTTCACATCCTATGGGTGACATAATTATCAAAATACCCTAATGTGAATGTTCACATCGTCAATGTGAATGTTCACGCCGTCAATGTGAATGTTCCTATTTGAGGTAAGAAGACCAAAATATCATTTTCATCTACTTATGTTCCATTTAGTCCACATTATTTTTTTTTTGTTTCAATAAGTCCTATGGGTGATATAATTACCAAAATACCCATAATGTGAATGTTCACATCCTATGGGTGACAAAATTACCAAAATACCCCTAATGTGAATGTTTACATCGTCAATGTGAATGTTCACACTGTCAATGTAAATGTTCACACCGTTAATGTGAATGTTCCTATTTGAGGTAAGAAGACCAAAATGCATTTTTCATTTACTTATGTTTCATTTAGTCCACATTATTTTCTTATGTTTCAATAAGTCCTATGAGTGATATAATTACCAAAATACCCCTAATGTGAATGTTCACATCGTCAATGTGAATGTTCACACTCTCAATGTGAATGCTCATATCATCAATGTGTAGGGACTCGGCCCAGCCCAGGCCGGGGCCAACCCATGTAAAGCCTCGTGGGTGCTTGCCAAAATTCGGGCCGGACCGGACCGGCCCACGGGCCAAAAAATTAGGCCTAGGCCCTAGCCCTGGCACAAAGGTATTCAGGCTTTGGGTGCCCCGGTGGGTCGAGCCAAAGGGCTTGGGCCTAGACTTGGGTTTGGGTCGGGCTTGGGTGAGCCTCGCCATTTTTTTTAATTCTTTTTAATTTTTTCTCCCAAAATTTTATTGTTTTCGACAAAAAAGACACCGGGCCTCGGGCTGAGCCTTAAATGGGCCTTATGCGGGCCGAGCTTCAAAGTGATGGCCCAGGTCCTAGCCCAAATTCTCGGGCTGGGCTCGAGCTCGGGCCCAAACGAGCTTGCCCCGGGCCGCGGAAGGGCTTCGGATGGCCCACGAGCCACGGGCCAATTTTACACTCCTATCAATGTGAATATTAACATGTCAATGTGAATATTCACATTGTCAACAGGTTGAACCCGCTCCGGGCCGCGGGTCAATTTTACACTCCTATCAATGTTAATGTTAACATGTCAATGTGAATATTCACATTGTAAATGGGCTGGGCTGGGCTAGGCCTTCGGGCGGGTTTCGGGCCGCCTACGGGCCGTGAGTTAATTTTACACTCCTATCAATGTGAATGTTAATATGTTAATGTGAATATTCACATTGTCAACGGGCCGGGCTGGGCCCGCCCCGCGCAGCCCACGGGCAGCGGGCCAATTTTACACTTCTATCAATGTGAATGTTAACATGTCAATGTGAATATTCACATTGTCAACGGACTGGGCCCGCTCCGGCCTAAGGGGGAGCTTCGGACCGCCCACAGGCCACGGGCCAATTTTACATTCTTACCAATGTAAATGTTAAAATATGAATATTTACAGCCCGCCCCGCCCCAGGCAAGGGGCAGGCTTCGGGCCGCGGACCAATTTTACACTCCTATCAATGTGAATGTTAACATGTCAATGTGAATATTCGCATTGTAAACGGGCCGGGCCAGGCCTGCGGGCGGGTTTCGGGCCACCCACGGGCCGCGGGCCAATTTTACACTCCTATCAGTGTGAATGTTAACATGTCAATATAAATATTCACATTGTAAATGGGCCGGGCCGGGCCTGCGGGCGAGTTTCAGGCTGCCTACGCGCTGCGGGTCAATTTTACACTCATATCAACGTGAATGTTAATATGTTAATGTGAATATTCACATTGTCAACGGGCCGGGCCCGCCTCGGGCAGCCCACGGGCCCCGGGCGGGTTTCGGGTTGCCCACGGGCCGCGAGCCAATTTTACACTTCTATCAATATAAACGTTAACATGTCAATGTGAATATTCACATTGTTAACGGACCAGGCTCGCCCCGGCTCGGGGGCGAGCTTCGGACCGCCCATGGGCCACGGGCCAATTTTACATTCTTACCAATGTGAATGTTAAAATATGAATATTTACAGCCCGCCCTGCCCCGGGCTTCGGGCCGCCCACGGGCCGCGGGCCAATTTTACATTCCTATCAATATGAATGTTTATATGTCAATGTGAATATTCACATTGTAAACGGGTCGAGCCGAACCCGCGGGCGAATTTCAGGCCGCCTACGGCCGCGGGTCAATTTCACACTTCTATCAATGTGAATGTTAACATGTCAATGTGAATATTCACATTGTCAACGGACCGAGCCCGCCCCGGCCCGAGGGTGATCTTCGGACCGCCCACGGGCCACAGGCCAATTTTACATTCTTATCAATGTGAATGTTAAAATATGAATATTTACATCATAAAATTACTAACCGTTCAAAAAATATTTGTAAGGGTATCAAAATTAAATATAAGGGCATAAGAGTCTAAAAAAAGAGTGTAAATAAAAAAAAATGACTTTATAAAATAAAACTATACATACATGGGACTAAATGGGTTAATAAATTTCTTCATAAATTTTTTAGATTCAAACACTTCTAAATGAGATTTATCAATAAAAATCCCTAAAATGAATCAAATAGTTTGTTTTATTCAGGGATAATGTATGACACCTGACTGATTTCCATTAAGTTTCTTCCACCACGGCCAACAACGACCCCAATATGCTCATCTGCAATACCAATAGTCACCGAGTTACTCTGGTCTCCCTGCAGATCACCACAAGGACTTCTATTAATCAAACTCGGAAAAAGACGAGTGAATTAGGAAAATTCTCATCAATAAGATTCCACAGTTGAGTGAATTTCCATATGGAAAAGTCGAGTTTAATTTCTTATCACTGGGAAGGCTATAAAAGACATTCCTTCTCATCTAGATTACATGCAGCTCAAAGAAAAACCAAACCAAGCCTTAAGTACCAAGTCTTAAGTCCCATCAAATGGAGTCGGCTGCATAAATCTTACTTCTCCAGGCGGCTCAAAGAGAACGGAAGTAAAAAGCTCGGTTGAACGTAAAGTGTAAACATACGACAAATAGGCATATGAAAAGCTTGTCTTGAACTATAGTTACTCCAGTAAATGATTTAAACGGAAAAAATAAATAAATAAATAAAGAAAAAGAGAGAAACCTCCTTTATTACAGTATTCCTGAAGAAAAACCAAGTAAACGAGGTATAAAAAACAAACATAAAAGCTACAAATTGTGGGTGTGTGTGGTGATAACTCCTATCCAGAATTCCAGTCCATTGATCAACTAATCCGGAGTACGAAAACATAAAAGCTACAGTTCAGCAAGAAGCTCGATAGCTTAAACACACTCTTGATGAGAGGATGCTTCCTTCTCTGTATTGAAATGTTTTGACTGTTTGTGAAGAAAAATATTAATAATTTTATATTTCACTTTAAAAAATTTACTATTTTAAAATGTTTCATTTATTTACCAATATAAAATTTTAAAATTCAAAATACTGACAGCTCAATGTCTTGAGGCCTGCATCTCAACCTCACCTCCTGACAGTAAAAAAACCCCAACATAATCCGTTCGCATTTAAGAAACTTTGAACAAGACTCAACTAAGTTGGAATAAGAAAATTGAGTAAAAATATAGATGGGCCTGTGGGGCCTACCACGGGTCCTGTTTCGATAATCTGAATCGTTGAATGTATAGAACTCGTCAAGTACTTTATCTCTTTAAAAATTCACATTGATTGGATATTGATAACTACTTGATCGGACAGTAAATATAATTTTCAAAATAAATTGTTAACAAAAATCTGATCCGAACAAGTAATTATCGATATCTAATCAATATAATTTTTTACAGGAATAAAGTACTCGAAAAGTTCTACACATTAAATTATTCGAATTATCGAAACAAAACTCGTGGTGAGCTCCACAAACCTGACAGTACTGTCCAGTCCACTGTGGACTGGAGACAAGCCTAGCCCAAAATATAAGTATTCTAGCACTCTATGAGTCGAGCTCATAAAATACCAACTGAAAAGTAAAGTTACGACTCTATATAGAAAGTAGATACTTATATTCGTCAATAAAATCAATCATAATGGCCTCTTACAACAACTTTGCTCTCTTGAGATATATTTTCTGTAACATGAAGCTCTATTCAACAAAAACTTTTGGGTTCTGTGGTGATCCATCAGAGATTCAATTTTTGCTAATCTACTGTGCCAAAATTTGCCAGATGTATATAGAGATTTAAAAGTAAATCAGTTCACAGACAAATCTCTCAAGGATAGATGAGAAAACTCGATAATTAACTACTCCATCACCTCTCAGAAGCAGATGCTACTTTCTGTGATATCATGGCCTCTGCCACACGGATTGCTCTTTGTGGTCCTGTGATGGTCACTTTCCTGCCAAACAAGGTGGAAGAGACATCAAGAGTCAATACATTTATTTGCATGCTGATTCAAACCATCAAGCTGTTTTTATACCTATCGGATGTTCCAGACATGAAATCGCCTCTATCTGATATCTTGATCCTGGCCCCACTAGCCTGCAAAAATTGAAGCACGTAGTACGCATTTATGCCCTCCGCATAACAAAATTGAGAAATAAAAAAATAAATAACTGAATTGAATCCTTTGTATGACACCTGACTGATTTCCATTAAGTTTCTTCCACCACGGCCAACAACGACCCCAATATGCTCATCTGCAATACCAATAGTCACCGAGTTACTCTGGTCTCCCTGCAGATCACCACAAGGACTTCTATTAATCAAACTCGGAAAAAGACGAGTGAATTAGGAACATTCTCATCAATAAGATTCCACAGTTGAGTGAATTTCCATATGGAAAAGTCGAGTGAATTAGGAACATTCTCATCAATAAGATTCCACAGTTGAGTGAATTTCCATATGGAAAAGTCGAGTTTAATTTCTTATCACTGGGAAGGCTATAAAAGACATTCCTTCTCATCTAGATTACATGCAGCTCAAAGAAAAACCAAACCAAGCCTTAAGTACCAAGTCTTAAGTCCCATCAAATGGAGTCGGCTGCATAAATCTTACTTCTCCAGGCGGCTCAAAGAGAACGGAAGTAAAAAGCTCGGTTCCCCAAACTTAGAATAAAAATGACAAAATACCTGTAAATTTGCTTGAATAAAATGAGCACCAAAGCTGGACTGCCAAACAACTACGAGTAACCAAAAACAGAAATGACCAATGATAACGTGGATTGATGTTCTAACAAACTACATACCATATAAATGTTCACAATCCCAAGTTGGACAATGCAAATTCCCCCAAACCCAGCTTGCCCTCCCCCTTTTTATTTCTCTTCTTTGTTCAGACCAACAAAAACTCACAGAAGTAGATTTCCAAATGAAATGCAGAATTCAATATATGAAGTATATTCCTCCCCCACAGACTAACAGGCCAAAGGTTTGTGATGTAATTGTTTATTAATTTTGCCAACAAACAATTAATCATTCGTTTGTTATACCTTTAGAACTGAAGAATTTCAGTACAAATGAGCGTACCCCACAGAGCAGATATGAAAACTATAATATTCTTTTGGAGCAAAACTTCAACATTTACTAATGCATATCCAGAATTGATGTATTATGGAATGACAAAATTTAAGAACCACCTGAATTTTATTATTCAAGCTAAGGTCAAGCATTTAGGATGCCAGGACATATTCTTACAATGTTAACAATTCTAGTTTAGAAGATCCTAGTGAACCAAAGAAAAATTGGAACTTGGGAAACAAGGACCACAGGAGCTATATAGCCCTTTTTGTGGTAGAAACAATTGAAGACTTTTTTTATTTTATTTTATTTTATCAGCAACAAAAAGATAATATATCAAATAATGAAAAAGAGAGACAACGAGATGACAAGAAGTCCTCTTAGAAGAAAAGAAAAATCTCTACCAAAAAAATAAATAAATAAAGAAAGTAAAATAAAATTATAGTTCATAAACAGCTCTCGAATCTGAAGATGGATACCTGTGGACCAATGAACATAAGCATGGGCCTTCCTAGTAAATCCTATCTCTTCACACACTGTGTATAACCTCTAGGCTGTGTTTGGATCATAGATTTGGGTAGAGATTGGAAAGGAAAAGAGAAAAGATAGATAAAATTTGAATGAAATATAACTACATTTCACACACCTTTTGCTTTTCCCTTTCCAAATGACGATCCAAATCCATGATCCAAACACAGTCTAAGGAGGTTGACTTATGGTTGTATCCCAAATTAAAATGACTACTGTAAATACAATCATATGTGGCTGTAATAACGTAAGCAATTACAGCTAAGGACAGAATATTCAAGGATGAGAATAGACCTTGTTATTCTGAAACTTTCCTCCAGCTCCATTTGACCCAAAGTTGTTCATTGCATTGTATGCTGAAGCTGTTCCAACAGAAGGAAGCATAAACGTAGATGAAATACCATGAAAACCAAAAACTAAAACACCTAATATTCAAATTGAAGAGAATTATGAAAGCATCAAATTTTCCTACAATAATTCTGATATGATACAATATTGGCTGCCACAGAAAGTACACTACAAAAATATCAACAATAAATTCCCTTCTTCTTTTTTGGGTTAGTAGTGCTTAAAAAACTTACTTCTCAATGACCTACTACATCATAAATCTCCCTTTTAATATGTAAAACACCAACATAAAACATAAGATGCTAGAAAGTTGGATAAAGACTGTCGTGGTACCTCTAGTCTACTATTAACATGAAGCTTCACTAAATTTAGGGAGCCTGAATCTTGCTAGGAATGTTCCTACAAGTATAAGATATTTAACCACTTTTTAACATGGAGAACACAAGTAGAACAACCTGTTCAATGTAATTGCTGAAAGGTACAGAAGTCCATGATTCCAAAATATGCCAGGAATGAGGTAGTGTACTAATACTACAAGGTCTGCTCACCTTTATACAGCCTGGCTTGCTTTCGCTCCTATATCATGGTCAACCTAGAAAGTAGTATTTCATACTAGAATGCCTACTATATAGAGTTAGAAGCTTCGCCAGATGCAAGCAAGATGAGATCACTCTACTTCATACATAAAGCTGGTACCGTCCTTGACTTACACGCTCATGCAATACCGTACTCACACTCTCTCTAACGCTGTGTTTGGTTGGGAGATTTGGGAAGGGATTTGGAAAAGGAAAGGGAAAAAGTATGTGAAATTAGATGAAATGTAGGTATATTTTATTCACATTTCACCAATCTTTTCTCTTCCCCTTTTCAAATCCCTTCCCAAATTCCCCAACCAAACACATCGTAAAGGAGCTTATGCACTCCACTTGTTGTCCACTTAACGAGCGTTAGAGCGAGCAAGCGAAACCTTCAATTCATTGGCTTCGGCTAAGATCACAAAAACATGGCATCAATTTTCCCAAAGATGACCACCACCTTAAGATTAGATGAAAACATTGGTTAATGAGCCAAGATAGGTCATCAGTCAGATATTTCTATTTACATTTCTATTTGGGTCAAGAGCAGGAATATACGCCTAAGACATAATATTGTAAAGCAGCTGTTTGGTGATGGGATTATATTCCTAAACTTTGTGAGGTCAGAGAGGAACTTGGCTGACCCTCTGACAAGACCACTTAATTAAAAGTAGTCAGATATTTCTATTTGGTCTTACTAACAATTAAGGATTGGTTTGGGATGTTCTAAAAAAGTGCACTTTTTGACTTATTGACTTATATGGGTTGAGTTTGGATTGGGTTTGATGTGATGTGTTAGAGAGGTGATGTGATTTAAATAAGATGATGTGACTTAAATAAGATAGTGACTTTTTGACTTTTTATATTATTTAGTTTATGCCTAACCAACCCTAACTTGGCTGACCCTCTGAGAAAACCACTAGATTAACAGTAGTCAGATATTTCTATTTGTTCTTAATAAAAATTCTATGTGCCACTCAACCAAAAATTTTTTTTATTACTACTCAGATTTATTTTCTTTCTCAAATTCATCCAAAGGAAACCCAACCAAGTTACCCAAACATGCCACTTCAATAACCAATATATACGAAATGAAATCTTGTTCCTTGCTTTTGCCAAACCCTCCCTCGTAGGGATGGCAATGGGTCAGGTTTGGTCGGGAAAACACTTCCCCTAAGACCTATCTCCAGTAAAAATTTCAGCCCGAAACTCCTTCGTTTGAATGCCGAAACAACGCGCCAAAATTCTGCACTGTTGGCTGCCACTGCTGGCTGCTGCTGCTGTATTTTGCTGCTGCTGGCAGCGCTGGTTGGCTATTGGCATGGGCTGCGACTTTGCCGTTTGCTGGCTATTAGTGGCCTACATGCCTTGGGCTGCTTGGGGCCAATGTTAGGCCACGTTGGGGCACTTCCAACGGCCACTCTTGAGCACTCAAATGGCCACACCACCACGAGCGAAACGTCACGGAGTTAGCCTTGCAAGGCAACCTTTGGCTTTGGTTTTGGCTAAGGTCTTGTGATATTCACTGATGAAGGGGAACAAGTTGAAACTATTGACCTTGAAGACTCTTAGTTTTGTAGGAATCTTTCTTCTTTATCAAGTTGTCTTTTGCTTTAAGTTTTATTTTTATGTATGCTGCATTACTAAAAATTGTTAAAATAATATTTTTTACGAACGTATCCCCGCCGTACCCGTATCCTAGTTTTTCAAATTTTGTCGTATCGCCGTATCGTATCGTATCGTATCCGTATCCGTATCCCGTATCCGTATCCGTATCCGTATCCGTATCCGTGCTTCCTAGGCCAAGATAGATCATCAGTTAGATATTTCCATTTACATTTCTATTTGGGTCAAGAGCAGGGATATACGCCTAAGACATAATATTGTAAAGCAGCTGTTTGGTGATGGGATTATATTCCTAAACTTTGTGAGGTCAGAGAGGAACTTGGCTGACCCTCTGACAAGACCACTTAATTAAAAGTAGTCAGATATTTCTATTTGGTCTTACTAAAAATTAACCTGGCTGACCCTCTGAGAAAACAACTAGTTTAAAAGTAGTCAGATATTATATTTGTATTTGGTCTTAATAAAAATTGTATGTGCCACTCAACCAAAAAAAAATTTTACTACTATTTGGATTTATTTTCTTTCTCAAATTCATCCAAAGGAAACCCAACCAAGTTACCCAAACATGCCACTTCAATAACCAATAGATACGAAATGAAATCTTGTTCCTTGCTTATGCCAAACCATCCATCGTGGGGATGGCAATGGGTCAGGTTTAGGGCAGGTTTTTAGTCCCCCACCTCAAATTATATTGGCGGCGGGCCAAATAGGGTTGCTGTCGGTGGCAGGGCAGGTTAGAGTTAATTTTGTAACTTAAAAAAAATAAAAATACTAATAAAAATTAGAGATAATATAATATATTATGAATAATATTTCATATATGATGAATGAAAGCTAAAAGAGGTAAGATGAGAAATAAATGAGTGAAAATGAATGTTAAGTGTAATATTTTAGTATCTTAATCTTCCTACATTGAAAAATAAAAGAATACATATTATATGCATGTAAATATATTTAATAAATATAATCGGGTAGGGAAAATCTATTGGGGGTGGAGCGAGGGATGAGGGGACAAAGCGGGGCGGGAGAAAATTTCCACCCCTACTCTCTTGCACCACCCTCTCTTCAGCCACCTTTCCTCAGTTGCAACCTGCAACCATTCGAACAACCACCCAAATTTTTGATTTAGCTCTAGCCACTAGCTCCACACAAATCCTGTGGACCCATATGTTCCCTTCACTTTCAATCTCCCTTTAAATATTGCAAACAAACATGTCCATTGGCCATATACCTATATTTTTACAAAACGAAGCCTTTATGTTTGTGCTTGACGAAATTCCACAAATCTTTGCCTCAATATTCTCTAGTCTAGTCCGGTTTGTTTATATCATTAATATCTTTTCAAAAGTGTACCTTACGATCATACACAATTTAACCAGGTCTCTCAGCTACAACTTAAATGTGTTTAAGCGTATTGGATTTTGATGCTATCTAAAACGCTTTTGATGTCAACCTATAATACTTCATCACATGTAAAAACACAGAAAAATTGACCTAGATTATTTGCCTTCGAAACTTTTTTTTTTACCTTTTTTAGCTCAGATTATTCCAGCCTTGGTATGTAATATTTCATGTAGAAAATTCCCCCATCTCTTTCATTGATCAGTATAGAACTTTTGAACCATATCATGAAATTGACTCCATCCTCCCTTCTTTTCTCTTACTGACAGGTTTCCATAATACCGAAGTTTGGAGAAGTATTCTAGAATCAATACGAACTGGAGGTAACATAAGCAATTGTTGTTTCTTGTTAAAAGGAGCTTCAAGACTTTTGCAACAAACATATGACGGCTCTTCATAGAACAGAAACATGGGAAAATATAAATCTAAGATGTAGGAAGGCCAAAGCAAAGGTCACTGCAGAGCTAAAAAATAAAATGAAATAATATATATATATATATTAGTTCATTGCTTCAAAAATTTCAAGCCCAATGTGTAGAAAAACTGCTTTAAATGGTCACTGAAGCAACAAAATAGTCCCAGTAATAGTGGTTCCCAAAAATAAACAAATGAGGAAGGGGGCACATATCATTTTATTAGTCGAAACGTTGTACATAGGTAACTAAATATGTAACTAAATATGCACCAATGGTTGAAACAAAAAGTAACAGATGAAACTCAAATATTAGCATGAATGGCTTGAGTAAATTAATAAAAGAAAATCACACCAGCATACGGAAAAGGAGCACTAGAGGACTGTGTGTAATGAGGATCCTCTGCCAGTTTTGATAAAATCAAATCAATAGCCCGAATCTGTTCCTCTAGAGTACCAGTCAGTGTCACTAGCCTATCATTCAACCCAAGATAATTGTTATCTTGAGGAGATATCTTAATGCCAGCTTGAGAGTCTTCAATAAATGACCTGCTCAAACAATATATAAACATCAATAGTCAATACACACCACAATTTCCACTTACCAAAAATAATTAAAGTCAATAATCAAAATACATAAAATTTCCTAAAATTGAAGATATACATATAGGCAATCTGTATCAGACCAAACATTTTGTTCAGCATGTGTCCACTTCTAGTGGATGTGAACACCTCTACATTTAAGGTTATAAATATACCAAAACTAAATAACTGAAACCACAAAGCTGCAAAATATTCTTAATCTGCATAATTATAACAAAGACGGCTTCTAAACCACCATTTCGCCAAATGTTTTATCATCTACTGCATGGATGATCATCTTATTAGGTTGTCCATGGTTCGGAGTAAGTTCCAACCTAAAACAATGAAGAGGGGCATGACTTTCCATTAATGAATCTTGCAAGTATGTAGTAAAGCTACCATAATGATTCTACAAGACACTTAACCCCATTATGATTTTAATGGGATTCAAGTGACACTTTGGTAACAAGTTCAAAGGGAGATCCAGTTCCAATGTTGACAAGTGGAAACTAGAAAGTTTAAGGATAACTGCCAACAGGTCCTAATAATTGGACTTAATTCTCATTAAGTCTTATTGAAAATAAGTTCTAGCAAAATCGTCGCTAAAAATATTTTTTGTGATGATTTTTTTTCATGTTGCTAAAAATTGACAATTAGTGGCTTTTTTTTTTGTCACGGTTTTTATAAATTGTCGTTAAAACTTACAGTTAGTGATATTTTTCTATAACGAATTTTTCAAACTGCCGTTGAAAGTTAAAAATTAGTGTCTTTTTTTGTGACGATTTTTTTAAATTGTCGCTAAAACTTATAATTAGTGACATTTTTTATAACAATTTTTAAATGGTCGCTGAAAATTAACAATTAGTGCATTTTTTAATAATATTTGGTGAAAAACACCATTAATTATCATAGGGCCTATTGGACAATAAGTCCACCTATTAAAACCTATACGTAAGTTCCCCAAAGTTTAACCCACCTAGGAATGATGAAAAACAAGGGAGATGCAAAGTTCAAGTAGAAGCTGCAAGCAATCTTAGCCATCAACATTTTATCCTCCGAAGAAGGACCATTTCCTCCTTGCAATATCATTTAATGAGGAGAAAAATAGTCTCCTGAATCGTGACATAAAATGATTAAATGGGCTTTGTCCACTCATTTGAATTCCCCAACGCGTTATTGTTTAGATAGGGCAATAAGTCTCCATTTTTTGACATTGGACTGGTAAATTTTTTTCAAGACTATGCTTTGGATGGTTGTCATAAAGGACAGTTACGAAGTGATCCTATGATGAGTGAGGCAAAGCGACTTGGAATCTAGAAGCAACTCAGGTATCCATACATGTCCAAGTATAATATTTGTCTAATCTACAATAGGTAAGACAAAAATAAAAAATAAAAAACAACTAAATGTTGAACTGTCAATTTCCAACATTCATGTCCCATAAGGTAAGTGTTTAAGTTTTGAGCATGGTGGAAAGTTGTGCTTAAACTCAGAAGTGGTTCGTCTGGCCCGCTCTTTGTAGAAGAGTTCTTGGACATGAGGAGCTATGGTGGTATGCAGATCAAATAGGGGCATTTCAAGTTTGATAAAAAGGGTTTGGGATAGAGGAGAAGTTGAAGGAAAGATGTTGGGCCACTGTTTTTAAAAGGAATTGTTTGGCTTGATTACTAGATGCTGAATTAAAGGAATGAGGGGAATAGAATGGGATGGTGCTTGAACTTTGAAAACTCATCATATGTACCCCAGTGGCATCGCTGGATCCTTTTATTGATCGACAAGAGGAACTCCTTTACCTATGGGGTAGGACCGTTCGGACGAAATGTCGGACTAGGTGTTGAAAAAGGTGAACGGTTTTGGAGATTGTCTTGTGATGGTTATGAAGATGAGTCTATGTGACTATTTAAATCTCTAAGCCACCAGGAGAAATAAAGGCCAACAAAAGCATGCTACTAGGAGTGGGAGAAAGTAGAACTAGATTTGACGCAAATTGAAGTTGAAGAACCTGGTAAGCACCATTAATTTCAAAGGTATAGGGTGGGCCAGGGGAGGGGAAGAAGGTAAACGCCCATCCCATGCAACGAAGAGACCTCTGCAGAAATCTAATGCCCCCAAGGTAGAGTGAAGCAGGGACAGGATGGTGCAGCCACACTGTGCTTTGTAGCAACTACCTCTCCACAACCTATCCCTCTCACAAGAAAATTTGATAACAATGCTTTTGAGGGTAATATGGGTAGCTTGTTCCCTTGAAATAGAATCTGGATATCTAAAGCTCCTAACAAAGTTTTGAAATTACTAATCTTCTCTTGAAGATTTTTTTTGTTTTTCACCCCATTGTAGCTCATGGAAAAAAAATCTTACTTTGGATAATTGAAAAGCCCAAAGCCTAACCCACACTTCTCCTTAAAACTCAAGTATTAAGGAAAGGGAAACTGAAACTATAACTATAACTATAACCTTATAACTAGCACAGAAGGGGCAACTCCAAACGATATGAGACACATTCCAACATGGATCATTTGATTCTTGAAACAAATTGTTGTTAATTAGTGTTGTATGTGCAAAGAGAATGCAGAGTTGAATGTTGCAGGGTAGATTGATCATCTCCTTATCCATTGTATGGTGATTATGAAATGTGGGCTCTTGTTTTTGTTGTTTTTGGTGTCCAGTGGGTTTTCCCAAAGAGGGTGGTGGAGCTTTTGGAATGAAGTCATAGTTGTTGATGTGGATTAGTTGAGTTGAAACTTGAAATGAACTAACAATCATTTGACGGGATGGAGAAGCCCCGTTTTTATTAAATTTTTTATCCAAGTCTTTTGTATAGGTGGAAATCCAATGTTTGGATTTATTAACTTTGTTTACTTAACAAAAAAAGAAAATGTTATTCACCCAAAAAAAAAATGTACTTGGAATTTTCTAGATAATAAAAAATATATTTCTCATGCTCAAGCATGCTAGTAGAGGATACGTCCAACAACAAGAATATCTGTACATATCCATGATGTCTTGCATCTAACACATCTACTTCACATCTTGAAGGGTCCATTGAACAAAAGGAAATGTTCAACTATATTACAAACTAGCAGAAGACCTGAGTCAAGGTACCTTTCCAATTAGAAATGATAGCAAAAAGCAAGGTCCAGAAATTGTCAAGAAAATATGAAGCAAAAAGGCCAACTTTTTTGTTTAGAAATCTCCATGAATCAAATCCACATATATGGCCTTATCAATAGGAGGTAAGTAAATGCCTACCCATGTGGAAGCCTAGCCTGCTTCCAATCGCCATTTAAAACTATTTTTTCTACCTTAGTTCCAATCCTATGTCAGTGATGCCTCCCTTTTGAAGTAAATGCCTACACACAAGGGGTGACAAAAGGTTACATTAAAATAATTAGGGGCATGTATGAATGTGTAGTGAGCACTATTAAAGCGCATGTTGAAGAGACAAGTGAATTTCCAATTACTGTGGGGTTACACCAAGGATTAACCTTAAGTCCTTATCTTTTTGCTTTAGTTATGGATGAGTTGACAAGAAATATTCAGGATGATGTGCCATAGGGTATGCTTTTTGCAGATGATATTGTACTAGTGGATGAAACTAAAGGAGTTAATAGTTAAGCACTTCAATCTAAAAGATTTAAGATAAGCGTAATTAAGACAGAGTATATAGAGTGCAATTTTAGTAACAATAACAATGGCAGCAGAGGATAAGTGAAGATTGAGAATCAAGAACTACCTAAAAGTGAACATTTTCTTTATTTAGGATCAATTATGACAACGGCTGAAGAGTTTGGAGCGAATGTGGTCCATAAAATTAAAGCAGGGTGGCTTACGTAGAGTAATGCATCTGTGGTACTGTGTGATAAATGAGTACCCACTAGACTAACAAAAAAAGTTCTATAGAACGGCTATTAAACCAGAGATGTTGTATGAGATGAAATGTTGGGCAATTAAGAAATAACATGTAGATAAGATGAGTGTTACTGAGATAAGGATGCTAAAGTCGATGTGTGGTAAGACTAGAAAAGACAGAGTTAGGAATGAGTATATTCACGAATGGGTAGGCGTAGTACCGATAAAAGATAAGTTGAGAGAGAATAGATTGAAATGGTTTGGTCATCTACAATGGAGACCAACAGAGGCAATAGTGAAGTGATATAATGCTGTGACGGTAGATGGAAGTGTTAGGGGAAGGGGTAGAACTAAATTGGACTAGTTTAGTGAATAAAGATATGAATCTCCTTAATTTGACTAACCAAATGGTCATTGATAGAATTGAGTGAAAAAGAAAAATTCAAGTAGCCAATCCCATATGATGAGACTTAAGGCTTGATTTGATTTGGTTTGATTTGGTTTAATTTTTTATTAGTAATAATAAATTTATTAAAAAGGGCACCAAGGATTGCTAGTAGTACACAATTACTCTTGAAATTACTAATCTTCTCTTGAAGATTTTTTTTGTTTTTCACCCCATGTAGATGGTGACCACTGAATGTTTTGCTTAACTCTGCCCATTGCATTTTTACCTTCACTGGATGGCAAAATTAGCTAACCCGATTATATTTGTTCTAACCCGATTTAAAAAAATAAAATAAAATAATTGAGAGGGCATTAATAAGGTAGGGTAAAGTATAGGGGTAGGTAGATCAAAACTGTCAAGGTTAAAATAAAATACGAAATCGTATTGTTAAAATAGTTGTGTTTATAGTCAAGAATTTGCACCCAAAACCCGAAAAAACCTGACCCGTTGCCATCCCATCATTACTTTTGATTATCTCATTCCAAGCTTAGACTTCAATATTTTTTCTTTCCCCTAGATTTGAAATTACTAATCTTCTCTTCAAGATTTTTTCGTTCACCCCATGTAGATGGTGACCACTGAATATTTCGCTTAACTCTCTACCCATTGCATTTTTTACCTTCACTCTTAGTAACCCCACTCACATCATTACTTTGACTATGCATTCTTGGAGAGACACCATTCAACTCAAAAGCAATGTCATTACTTTGGGGAGGTTCAACATTAACAGTATGACCTCTCACAGCCTCATCTATTTTGGAACATGATTCAAGGATGCCAAAGTAGGTGGAATGTAAGGCCGAAACACTTGGTTCATCCACGGTAGTAGTCCCCTTGATAGAGTTGACTACTCAATTCATGATTTTTTTGACTGACTACACAAAATGGCAAACCCAAAGTCATCGAAGAAAGAAACAATACAAGGGATAACATAGATATATGCTAGGTGCCCTCATTCAACTCTCTATGAAGACCAATTTTAAAAGAAAAGAAACAAAAATTGCCTCCCATCTTCAAATACTCACCACTAAACACATCTTTATTAGTGACAATAATAGCAATAGAAAGAAAATCTACTTCCAATTTATTCTCGCGGCACTACAAACGACTCCAAAACTCGGAGATCTTTATCATTAGATTTTATGTTTTATGGTAATTTTATATTATTGAAATGCATGTAAAAAAAAAACACTAGTTTCTAGTACCTGAGGTTTCGAAAAGCAGTTGCAGTGGCCGTAATGGTTGCGGTTGTGGTTGCAGTTGTTGTTGCGGTTGTGGGTAACACAACGGTTATAGTAACCGGAACCGTGAATTTTTTAATTTTTTGCACAATGTAAAAAAAATTACCGATATGCATATTTTTTTTTCTTTAAAATCATATTTATTAGGGTTTAAAATAGATTTTGATCAATTTCTATTAGTTTTTAAATATAATCCAATATATTTCATATTTTTAAATTACCATAAAATGAGCTTTTTACATTTTATTTCAATAATTAATGACTTTAAGAATAATTGATTTTAAATGTCTACAAAATTATTTTTGACCAATGCCTGAACTAACTAAATAAAAATATTTACAATTATTAATGATTATATAAAAAAATAAAATAAATTGCCATAAACAAAAATTATTTGTGAGCTAATGATTTTTTATTTTAAAAGACATTTTTTTAAACAACGCTTTACAATTAACTAAATAAAATTATTTACAATTAAGTATTAAGTGAAATGATTATAAAAATAAAAACTGTGCCATAAGCAAAAATTGTTTTTGAGCTACTAAATTTTTTTTTTAAAGAAATTTTTTACACAACATATTACAGTAAAAAAATTTTAAAAATGTTTACAATTAAATGAAATGATTATAAAAATAAATACAACCACTGTTTAAATATTTTTATTTTCCATGCTAATGTAATGAAATAAAAATAAAAAAAAAATTATAAAGAAAAAAAAATCCATATAATGTTTTTTCTTTTGAGTTTGAATCACTTGAGTATTCATTCTTTTTTTGTAAGCATATTTCTTTTAGAAAGAAAGCTATTTAGAATATTGTAAAGTTGTGTAACGGCCGTTACATGATATAGAAACAGCCGGTACACATGAATTTCAGTCACACCACAAAAGTGGGTGTAATAGATAGCGCCTACTACAAACGTTATGTAACGGCCGCAACCGTTACTAGTGGTACCCTTCCAAAGCCCCATGCAATTAAACAAAGCAACCTCTATCGAAGCCAAATCCACACAAACGCATCCATATTAAGACTCCGCCACTCTCCAATACCTCTCCTCACTAGCAACCTCAAACCAAATTGAAAAAAAAAACAACTGCAAATAACATATTTAAACTACTATATTGTCTAAATGATCAGCATCAGCCCCATTTATTATGAAGTCAAAAACTGCAATAAATCCACCGAAAGGAAAAGGAAATATAAATCTAAGATGTAGGAAGGCCAAAGCAAAGGTCACTGCAGAGCTAAAAAATAAAATGAAATAATATATATATATATATTAGTTCATTGCTTCAAAAATTTCAAGCCCAATGTGTAGAAAAACTGCTTTAAATGGTCACTGAAGCAACAAATAGTCCCAGTAATAGTGGTTCCCAAAAATAAACAAATGAGGAAGGGGGCACATATCATTTTATTAGTCGAAACGTTGTACATAGGTAACTAAATATGTAACTAAATATGCACCAATGGTTGAAACAAAAAGTAACAGATGAAACTCAAATATTAGCATGAATGGCTTGAGTAAATTAATAAAAGAAAATCACACCAGCATACGGAAAAGGAGCACTAGAGGACTGTGTGTAATGAGGATCCTCTGCCAGTTTTGATAAAATCAAATCAATAGCCCGAATCTGTTCCTCTAGAGTACCAGTCAGTGTCACTAGCCTATCATTCAACCCAAGATAATTGTTATCTTGAGGAGATATCTTAATGCCAGCTTGAGAGTCTTCAATAAATGACCTGCTCAAACAATATATAAACATCAATAGTCAATACACACCACAATTTCCACTTACCAAAAATAATTAATGTCAACAATCAAAAAACATAAAATTTCCTAAAATTGAAGATATACTTATAGGCAATCTGTATCAGACCAAACATTTTGTTCAGCATGTGTCCACTTCTAGTGGATGTGAACACCTCTACATTTAAGGTTATAAATACACCAAAACTAAATAACTGAAACCACAAAGCTGCAAAAATATTTTTAATCTGCATAATTATAACAAAGACGGCTTCTAAACCAAACCACTATTTCGCCAAATGTTTTATCATATACTGCATGGATGATCATCTTATTAGGTTGTCCTTCATGGTTAGGAGTAAGTTCCAATCTAAAACAATGAAGAGGGGCATGACTTTCCCATTAATGAATCTTGCAAGTAAGTAGTAAAGCTACCATAATGATTCTACAAGACACTTCAACCCCATTATGATTTTAATGGGATTCAAGTGACACTTTGGTAACAAGTTCAAAGGGAGATCCAGTTCCAGTGTTGACAAGTGGAAACTTGAAAGTTTAAGGATAACTACCAATAGGTTCTAATAATTGGACTTAATTCCCATCAAGTCTTATTGAAAATAAGTTCTAGCATAATCGTCGCTAAAAATATTTTTTGTGATGATTTTTTTTTCATGTTGCTAAAAATTGACAATTAATGACTTTTTTTTGTCATGGTTTTTATAAATTGTCGTTAAAACTTACAGTTAGTGATATTTTTCTATAACGAATTTTTCAAACTACTGTTGAAAGTTAAAAATTAGTGTTTTTTTGTGACGATTTTTTTAAACTGTCGCTAAAACTTATAATTAGTGACATTTTTTGTAACAATTTTTAAAATGTCGCTGAAAATTAATAATTAGTGACGTTTTTTAATAGTATTTGCTAAAAAACGCCATTAATTATTGGACAATAAGTCCACCTATCAAGACCTATACGTAAGTTCCTCAAAGTTTAATCCACCTACGAATGATGAATGAAAAACGAGGGAGAATGCAAAGTTCAAGTAGAAGCTGCAAGCAATCTTAGCCATCAACATTTTATCCTCCGAAAAGGACCATTTCCTCCTTGCAGTATCATTTAAAGAGGAGAAAAATAGTGTCCTGAATGGTGACATAAAATGATTAAATGGGTTTTGTCCACTCATTTGAATTCCCCAACGCGTTATTGTTTAGATAGGGCAATAAATCTCCATTTTCTGGCATTGGACTGTTAAATTTTTTTCAAGACTATGCTTTGGATGGTTGTCATAAAAGACAGTTACGAAGTGATCCTATCATGAGTGAGGCAAAGCCACTTGGAATCTAGAAGCAATTCAGGTATCCATACATGTCCAAGTATAATATTTGTCTAATCTACAATTGGTAAGACAAAAATAAAAAACAACTCAAATGTTGAACTGTCAATTTCCAACATTCATGTCCCATAAGGCAAGTGTTTAAGTTTTGAGCATGGTGGAAAGTTGTGCTTAAACTCGGAAGTGGTTCATCTGGCCCGCTCTTTGTAGAAGAGTTCTTGGACATGAGGAGCTATGGTGGTATGCAGATCAAATAGGGGCATTTCAAGTTTGATCAAAAGGGTTTGGGATAGAGTAGAAGTTGAAGGAAAGATGTTGGGCCACTGTTTTTAAAGGGAACTGTTTGGCTTGATTACTAGATGCTGAATTAAAGGAATACAAGGAAAATGAGGGGAATAGAATGAGATGGAGCTTGAACTTTGAAAACTCATCATATGTACCCCAGTGGCTTCGCTGGACCCTTTTATTGATTGACAAGAGGAACTCCTTTACCTATGGGGTAGGACTGTTCGGACGAAATGTCGGACTAGGTGTTGAAAAAGGTGAACGCTTTTGGAGATTGTCTTGTGATGGTTATGAAGATGAGTCTATGTGACGATTTAAATCTATAAGCCACCAGGAGAAATAAAGGCCAGCAAAAGCATGCTAATAGGAGTGGGAGAAAGTAGAACTAGAACTGACGCAAATTGAAGTTGAAGAACCTGGTGAGCACCATTAATTTCAAAGGTATAGGGTGGGCCAGGGGAGGGGAAGGTAAAGGCCCATCCCATGCAATGAAGCGACCTCTGCAGAAATCTAATGCCCCCAAGGTCGTGTGAAGCAGGGACAGGATGGTGCAGCCACCCGTGCTTTGTAGCAACTACCTCTCCACAACCTATCCCTCTCACAAGAAAATTTGATAACAATGCTTTTAAGGGTAGTATGGGTAGCTTGTTCCCTTGAAATAGAATATGGATATCTAAAGTTCCTAACAAAGTCTTCTTTCTACTATTTTTAGCTCATGGAAAAAAATCTTATTTTGGATAATTGAAAAGCCCAAAGCCTAACCCACACTACTCCTTAAAACCCAAGTATTAAGGAAAGGGAAACTGAAACTAAAACCTTATAACTAGTACAGATGGGGAAACTCCAGACGACATGTGACACATTCCAACATGGATCAGTTGATTCTTGAAACAAATTGTTGTTAATTAGTGTTGTATGTGCAAAGAGAATGCAGAGTTGAATGTTGCAGGGTAGATTGATCATCTTCTTATCCATTGTATGGTGATTATGAAATGTGGGCTCTTGTTTTGGTTGTTTTTGGTGTCTAGGTTTTCCCAAAGAGGGTGGTGGAGCTTTTGGAATGAAGTCATAGTTGTTGATGTGGATTAGTTGAGTTGAAACTTGAAATGAACTAACAATCATTTGACGGGATGGAGAAGCCCCGTTTTTATTAAATTTTTTATCCAAGTCTTTTGTATAGGTGGAAATCCAATGTTTGGATTTATTAACTTTGTTTACTTAACAAAAAAAGAAAATGTTATTCACCCAAAAAAAAAATGTACTTGGAATTTTCTAGATAATAAAAAATATATTTCTCATGCTCAAGCATGCTAGTAGAGGATACGTCCAACAACAAGAATATCTGTACATATGATGTCTTGCATCTAACACATCTACTTCACACTTTGAAGGGTCCATTGAACAAAAGGAAAGGTTCAACTATATTACAAACTAGCAGAAGACCTGAGTCAAGGTACCTTTCCAATTAGAAATGATAGCAAAAAGCAAGGTCCAGAAATTGTCAAGAAAATATGAAGCAAAAAGGCCAACTTTTTTGTTTAGAAATCTCCATGAATCAAATCCACATATATGGCCTTATCAATAGGAGGTAAGTAAATGCCTACCCATGTGGAAGCCTAGCCTGCTTCCAATCACCATTTAAAACTATTTTTTCTAACTTAGTTCCAATCCTATGTCAGTGATGCCTCCCTTTTGAAGTAAATGCCTACACACAAGCAGTGACAAAAGGTTACATTAAAATAATTAGGGGCATGTATGAATGTGTGGTGACCACTATTAAAGCGTATGTTGGAGAGACAAGTGAATTTCCAATTACTGTGGGGTTACACCAAGGATCAACCTTAAGTCCATATCTTTTTGCTTTAGTTATGGATGAATTGACAAGAAATATTCAGGATGATGTGCCATAGTGTATGCTTTTTGTAGATGATATTGTGCTAGTGGATGAAGCTAGAGAAGGAGTTAATAGTAAAGCACTTCAATCTAAAGGATTTAGGATAAGCATAACTAAGACAAAGTATATAGAGTGCAATTTTTTTTGAATAACAACAAAATTTTATTAAAACGGGAAAGAGAGAGAGGACAAGAAGTCCTCTTACAAGGAGAGAAAAAAAGAAGAAGAAAAAGAAAAACCAATCGCAAAACTCTAAACTCTAAGAATGGCAAACAGCAGCCCAATCCCTAGAGATCAAAAACAAAGGGACTCCTTTAAAAGGAGGAGATACAAATGCCCAAAAAGAAGCCAAATATTCAGCCCTATCCCACAAAGCCTCTACACTTCCTTGTTTTCAAAAATTCGAACATTTCTCTCCAACCATATAACCCAGAAAATATATAGAGTAAAATTTTAGTAACAATAACAATGGAAGCAGAAGATAAGTAAAGATTGAGAATCAAGAACTACCTAAAAGTGAACATTTTCTTTATTTAGGATTGATTATGACAACGGCTGAGGAGATTGGAGCGGATGTGGTTCATAAAATTAAAGCGGGGTGGCTTAAGTAGAGTAGTGCATCTATGGTACTGTGCGATAAATGAGTACCCACTAGACTAACAAAAAAAGTTCCATAGAACAGCTATTAAACCAGAGATGCTATATGAGATGAAATGCTAGGCAATTAAGAAATAACATATAGATAAGATGAGTGTTATTGAGATGAGGATGCTAAAGTGGATGTGGCAAGACTAGAAAAGACAGAGTTAGGAATGAGTATATTCACGAATGGTTAGGAAAGTACCGATAAAAGATAAGTTGAGAGAGAATAGATTGAAATGGTTTGGTCATATACAATGGAGACCAATAGAAGAAGTAGTGAAGAGATACAATACCGTGACGATAGATGGAAGTGTTAGGGGAAGGGGCAGACCTAAATTGACGTGGACTGGTGTAGTAAATAAAGATATGAATCTCCTTAATTTAACTAACCAAATGGTCGTTGATAGAATAGAGTGAAAAAGAAAGATTCATGTAGCCAACCCCATACGATGAGACTTAAGGCTTGATTTGATTTGGTTTGGTTTGGTTTGGTTTAATTTTTTATTACTAAAAATAAATTTATTACAAAGGGCACCAAGGATTGTTAGTAGTACACAAAAGTAAAATATATCAAGAAATATTACTCTACCCATTGCATTTTTACTCTTGAAATTACTAATCTTCTCTTGAAGATTTTTTTGTTTTTCACCCCATGTAGATGGTGACCACTGAATGTTTTGCTTAACTCTGCCCATTGCATTTTTACCTTCAGTGGATGGCAAAATTAACTAACCCGATTATATTTGTTCTAACCCAATTTTTAAAAATAAAATAAAATAAATTGAGGGGGCATTGATAAGGTAGGGTAAAGTATAGGGGTAGGTAGGTCAAAACTGTCAAGGTTAAAATAAAATACGAAATCGTATTATTAAAATAGTTGTGTTTATCGTCAAGAATTTGCACCCAAAACCCCGAAAAAAAACCCGACCCGTTGCCATATCATCATTACTTTTGATTATCTCATTCCAAGCTTAGACTTCAATATTTTTTCTTTTCCCTAGATTTGAAATTACTAATCTACTCTTCAAGATTTTTAAGTTTTCACCCCATGTAGATGGTGACCACTGAATATTTCGCTTAACTCTCTGCCCATTGCATTTTTTACCATCACTCTTAGTAACCCCACTCACATCATTACTTTGACTATGCATTCTTGAAGAGACACCATTCAACTCAAAAGCAATGTCATTACTTTGGGGAGGTTCAACATTAACAGTATGACCTCTCACAGCCTCATCTATTTCGGAACATGATTCAAGGATGCCAAAGTAGGTGGAATGTAAGGGCGAAACACTTGGTTCATCCACGGTAGTAGTCCCCTTGATAGAGTTGACTACTCAATTCTTGATTTTTTTGACTGACTACACAAAATGGCAAACCCAAAGTCACCGAAGAAAGAAACAATGCAAAGGATAACATAGATATGTGCTAGGTGCCCTCATTCAACTCTCTATGAAGACCAATTGAAAAAAAAAAAATGTGTCCCCCCATCTTCAAATACTCACCACTAAACACATCTCTATTAGTGACAATAATAGCAATAGAAAGAAAATCTACTTCCAATTTATTCTCTCGGCACTACATACGACTCCAAAACTCACCTTCTCTCCATGTCCCACAACAAAATGAATACACAAAAAATACCTCTAGTTTCTAGTACTTGAGGTTTCGAAAAGTAGTTGCGGTCGCCGTAATGGTTGCAGTTGTGGTTGCAGTTGTTGTTGCGGTTGCGGGTAACACAACGGTTGCGAGCCGTGAATTTTTTAATTTTTTGCACAATGTGAAAAAAATTACCAATATGCATATATTTTTTTTTTCTTCAGAATTATATTTATTAGGGTTTAAAATAGATTTTGATCAATTTCTATTAGTTTTTAAGTATAATCCAATAAATTTCATATTTTTAAATCACCATAAAATGAGTTTTTTACATTTTATTTCAATAGTTGATGACTTTAAGAATAATTAATTTTAAATGTCTACAAAATTATTTTTGACCAATGCCTGAACTAGCTAAATAAAAATATTTACAATTATTAATGATTACATAATAAATAAATTGCCATAAACAAAAATTATTTGTGAGCTAATGATTTTTTATTTTAAAAGACATTTTTTTAAACAACGCTTTACAATTAACTAAATAAAATTATTTACAATTAAGTATTAAATAAAATGATTATAAAAATAAAAATTGTGCCATAAGCAAAAATTATTTTTGAGCTACTAATTATTTTTTTTTTAAAGAAATTTTTTACACAACATATTGCAATAAAAAAATTAAAAAATGTTTACAATTAAATGAAATGATTATAAAAATAAATACAACCATTGTTTAAATATTTTTTATTTTCCATGCTAATGTAATGAAATAAAAATTAAAAAATAAATTATAAAGAAAAAAAAATCCATATAATGTTTTTTCTTTGAGTTTGGATCACTCGAGTATTCATTCTTTTTTTGTAAGCATTTTTTTTTATAAAGAAAGCTATTTAGAATATTGTAAAGTTGTGTAACGGGTTGTTACAGTACCACTACGGCCGTTACATAATATAGAAACAGCCGGTACACATGAATTTCAGTCACACCACAAAAGTGGGTGTAACAGATAGCGCCTACTACAAACGTTACGTAATGGCCGCAACCGTTACTAGTGGTACCCTTCCAAAGCCCCATGCAATTAAACAAAGCAACCTCTATCGAAGCCAAATCCACACAAACGCATCCATATTAAGACTCCATCCACCACTCTCCAATACCTCTCCTCACTAGCAACCTCAAACCAACTTGAAAAAAACACAACTTCAAATAACATATTTAAACTACTATATTGTCTAAATGATCAGCATCAGCCCCATTTATTATGAAGTCAAGAACTGCAATAAATCCACCGAAAGCAGTTAATATATTCAAATAATCAAATCAATAAAAAATTCAAAACAAACAAGAGAATTAGTTGTTAGTAGAGAATGAAAAATAAAAGAAACATGACCAGCACATATGTTTATCGTGGGTGATGACAAATTAGGGGTGATGCTTTTTCCAATGGCAAAAATATAGCAACAAAACAGGTTTTAAGCCTTCAACAGACAAAAATAAAATTAGCAGTATTCATACTTTATGGTGGCACCACCCTTCCCAATTATTCCACCGCATGAGCTATTTGGTACAATCAGTCTAAGTTTTGATCTTGGGTCAACGTCATCACCATCTTCAATATAAAACTGACCAACAAAAAGAAAATTTCATTAAAAATTATACCCAGAAAAGTATATTAAATGGAAGCTATGTCATGATTATTACTTCGTTTAGCAATTTAGCAAGAATTAGTTCCATCCCCTTGAGTATTTCATCAACTGTTCCAGATACCATAATGATCCTGTCAGATGTTCCTGGAAATAATTCATGATTGCGTGACAACTGAATCCGTGCTCCGGACTGGGATTGAAAATCAGTAATTGTTGAGCCACCCTTCCCAATGACTGAACCAGCTTCGGCATTAGATGCAAGGAACCTAATGTATGTGTTCTTCTCCGTATTGCCTGAAAATGGAAATCATAATGAAGACATGAATAGAACTAACCTTTTTTGGGGGTACATGTTAGCCCACTCATGCATGACTTCTTATATACATGTTAGCCCAATCATGCATGACTTCTTATATACATGTTTGAGCAAAGGGAAAAGTTTCGTTGAACAAGGAACACAGTATACAATTAGTAGAGAAAATCTTAATAAAAATTAAATGTCATCAATATGCCATTCAAATTCAAACACTATAATGACAATGTGGAGAAGTCAACCCAAGCACCTCAACAGGTGATTTATCACCATAGTGTTCAATAAAAGACAACTCAATTGCTCACCTCTCTGATGCATCAAAAAGTGACTATGCAAATTGAATCTCTAGTCAAACCAATATTAGATAATATGCATCAGTAAATGAGCTATCTTTAGAGCACTTGCCTACATAAAATCATTATTCCATCCATGATGACCAATAATAAAGAAAAATTTAATTAAGTTATTAACGAGGCAGCATTACATATTAATAATACTAAACAACTTCATGGGGGGCATCACCATTTCAAGGGCGTTTTCTTTGGTGAATGGCATCTAAGAACCTAAACCATGGAATAAAATGCCATTTACTAATAAACAAAGTTTGCAAATTGAATGAGTGAAAATAAATGTTAAGCGTAATATTTTAGTATTTTAATTTTGGGATAAATTACAAATACATCCCCTGAATTTATTAAAAATATAGGTTCTCCCCTCACATTTAAGAAATTACATCACACCCCCTAAGATTTCCAATCACATAATAAATGAACCCCTCTGTTAATCAACCATTAATTCAAACTCAAAAAGTGTCTAACATAAGAAACAGATTTTTTTTCTTCCATAAATTCCTACATTAACCTTTTTGAACACTTTATGTTCTTTATTCTTTTTTCCTATTTCACCTTCCTTGTAATTGCCCATTTTCTCTCAACTAGTAACACCACTTTATCCAACCATCGCACCACCCTCTTCCACTCTCAATCAACACCACCATCATTATTGTTTACAAAGCATTTGACAGTAGTATGACAATTTTGTTTTGGTATTAAAGGGTATTTGGGTATTTTCTGTTTTTTTTTTTTTTTTAATTAAGTTAGTTGCAGGAAAAATTCTGATAATAAGGCATTTGTAATTTCCACAATATGAAGGGGGAATCCGTGTTTTTGACAAATTGTAATTTACCCTTGATTTTCTTATATTATATTGAAAAAAAATATTACACATAAATATATTTAATAAATATCGTCGAAGTGGGGGCGGGGTAGAACTTCAGGGGAGCAAAACTTATCCCCACCCTAGTTCCTCATTGAGGAGGGGAGGGGCGGAGGGAAATTGCCATCCCTAGGGTAGACCTTCTGTCACCAAATTAAAGACAATGTTTCAAACCTAACTGCATAGATGAGCACAAATTTATCATCCAACTTTGGGTCGCCCTGGATTGAACTTGTTATTCGATGCACTAGATCATATTAATTAGGGTAAGGCACTGTTTGTTTAGCCATTCTGAAGTCTTGTTCGTGCTAATTGAAACAGAAAAGCAAGCAGACCACTCGAGCGAACTATCCACTGCTCGAGCGGTAAACACAAGGTCTTAGGAGTTTTCTAGAAACACATTGAAACTACTAGAAACTTGACATCTTCGCTCAAGCGACCACTCCACTGCTTAAATGGTCTTGCCTGCAAACGAGAAAGGTACTAGCAGCTCTGTTTATCCGCTCGAGTGACCAATTGACTGCTCGAGCGGTTACTCAAAATAGGTTGTTACAGCCATGGAGTTCTTCTAATTTTGATAAGCTCACACGGGTCTGAGGAGTTGGGTTGGGCCTCAGTGAAGATGAACTCACGAGTTTGAGGTGTAAAAATGGCCCACGACCCATGGGTAGTCCGAAGCCTACCTACGGCCTAGTTAGGTCCGAGACCTTAGGCCTGGGCCTAGGCTGTTATTTTGAAGTCTAGCCAGGCCCATGGGCCAAACCCACTTAGCCCAGCCCATCGACCCACTCAAGGCCTACTCAAAGCCTAGCCTAAGGCCAATGCCATTTAGAGTGGAAAATAATAAAATTTTGGTGGAAAAAATTAAAAAAATAAAAAAAAATATTCAGGCTCGTCCAAGTTCGGTCCAAGCCTAAGCCCAGGCTGGAGACCCGGCCCACCCAAGGCTCGAATACCCCCTAGGTCTAGGCTTAATTTTCTAGCCCGTGGGCCGGCCCGGACGGACCCGAATTTTGGCAGAAGCCCGCGAGGCCGAACATGGGCTGGGCCAAATTTACACCCCTAGCTGGAGTCACCCTTACTTCAACACCCTATTTGTTCACCTAACATACTATATATGCAATTCGTTACGTATTTTTGTAATATATAATATATATTTTTTTGAAAAATGTTAATATGTAATATTATCACAAAAATAAGTCACATTTTTTAAATACAAATTATCGCATTTTATTTAAAAAGTATATACACTCCCACAATATACTCTTTTATATACCATAACATTTCCCAATACAATATAAATTTATATGATTTTTTCTTGAAGTTTATAATAATTACATAGTTTCTTAACGTTGTGTTTGGTTGAAATATTTTGGAAGGAATTGAAAAAGAGAAAGAAAAAAAAAAGTAGGTGAAATATGAATAAAATATATCTATATTTCACTTAATTGCACATACATTTTCCCTTTTCTCATTTCAAATTCCTTTTCAAATCCCTAACTAAATACAGTGTAAATAATTCCTGAAGTTGCACTATTCTTTCTTAATAGGATCGTGGACCAAAATACTTTAACATTTGACGTAGAAAGATTCAAATAAGAAATATTTGTTATAATGAAAAGACATGGATGCCCTTATCTATATAAGCAAACCTTTGTAGTGTTTACCTCATTTCTCATTCTTGAATGACCCAAATGACGGGAGATAATACAGAAAAAAATGAGGAGAAGAAAAGAGAGAGAGGTTGAGAAAGGAAGAACGAATATCACATATATACGGAGAGTTTTTTTTTTTTTAATCTTGCAATTTTTAAATTTAGGTTTGTTGGAACAATCTTCTGTGTAAATAACAATATTGAAATAACAAAAATAAAGTACTTACAGAATTATTCTTGTCTCGGAAATTCGAATAGCAAAATGTCGATCAAGTCGAGTGTGTGACACTCTTTTCTTAAGACAGATTTGCTGCCGCATAGGTGCTCATGGATTTAATAGCGTCTATCTCCCAGGATACAACGATCACTCTCACAAATTGTAGTATCACTACAAACAATTTGCTAGAACCTGAGTTCTGTGACTTTCTTAAAACTCTAAGAACTAGTATGAAGAACAAATTGCAAGAGGGAAGGAAAATCGGAATAAATGAATTGAATGAATGAACTTGCTGGAGAATCATCTATTTATAGGCATAGTGGTGCCTGTTTGAAAAAGGCAGAAAAACCCTCTGAACATGTACGAATTTGAATTTCTAGAAAAGTGAAGGAAGACAATCGAAGAAGGCACTGGTTCGAAGCAAATTTGAATTCGAATTTTGGTGCAAAATTTGAAAAAATTCAAACGAATTTTGTCCAAAAAATTAAAGTTAGGACCTAACCCACACCATGCACCAGGGTCGGTCGGTCAGACGACGGCGCACGCGTGTGTGGTGGATTTGGGTCAAACCCAATTTGTCCATAACTCCCCTTCTTACAAAACTTGGGGTGCCCCTAAGGACCCATCCCAAGTATGTCAACCTAGAGTTTATATACGCATACAAATTGTCTTATGGTTTCTATGTGGGACAACTACAACAAAGTAACCCACATTTTGTCTCTTCAACTTCCTATTTCACGAAACCAAAAATGACGTCAACTTCCGATTCACCTTCTTTTACCGTGTGACTTGTGGCAAGGAACACGTCACCATTTGGACTCACCTCAAAAGACGTGTGGGCCATACTTAAATTTGGACTCAAAGTTGGCCCAAAATAAGCCTATAAAACCAAATTTTCCAACAATCCCCCATATGAAGGGAATTGATGGAGAGAAAATGAAACAACAAGATGTTTCTAAAGAGAATACGAAGCATTTGGCTTTGAACCTTCCCTTGTGAGACACTATTAGATTCACTAGCTAATTAGTGAACATGATGTCTTGAACTGTTCAGTCATTCGTGTAAATAAAGACAATAGAATCTACATAGAATATTTCCAAACACAGTTTGATTCTCACGATTGTGTTCATTTTGGCCCTGAAAACCCTGGTACTTCATGAGTGCTCTAGAGAATTATAGCCCTTACAAAACTCATAGAATCGGTCCGTTTCACACTCATATAGGTGATTCTTATAAAGAGTATCCTGCCATACTCCACTAGGTATTCCTAGATATAAGAATCATTAAAAGCATTGCTTATTCTAACACGTTGTAGACATCACTATTTCATCATAGAAATGGGTAGGAGTTTAACTCCTCAATGATCCTTATGAGTCATACACAACTCAATTGCCCCTTTAAACCTAGATCTTGGGATCTCCAGTCAACTAGGTTGGATTGCTGTTGTGGTAACTCTTATTTAATAGGCCTAAGTTCCATTCCCCTTGATGAATTTTTAACTAACTCTCTTGCTAACCCTTTGATTAATGAATCCGCTATGTTGTCTGTAAACTTCACATATTCAATGGAAATAATTCTATTAGAGAGTAGTTGTCTCACAATGTTATGTCGGCGACGAATGTGTCATGACTTAACGTTATATATATAACTCTGTGCTCTATCTATCGCCGATTGACTATCACAATGTATGCATATATCAGACATAGGTTTCGGCCACATTAGAATATCTTCAAGAAAGTAACGAAGCCATTCTGTTTCTTCCCCAGCTTTATCTAAAGCTATAAACTCTAATTCCATAGTAGACCTAGCAATGCAAGTTTATTTGGAAGATTTCCAAGATACAGCCACACTACCGAAAGTAAAGACATACCCATTGG